TAACTCATTTTAGAGTTTTTGGTTACTTGTATTATGCCAAAGTCTTCCCTTGCCTTGATAAGTTTGCTCCTAGGTCCACGACCTATCTTTTTTGGGGTATCCTTATTCATAAATAGAATACAAAGTTATGGACTTAACAACATAGAAAATTTTTGTTTTCGGAGATGTCTTGTTTCATGAGAACTTATTTCTATTTCATTCCTCTTTCCCCCTCCCCTTTCATTTAAGGTCACAAGTATTCCTAGTCCCGTTACTAAATAGTTGTATGATGATGATACATCTATTTTTCATGTATCTTCCGTTCCATCTACTAACATACATTCTCCAAAACAATCCTCTTATTTATCTTCTCATTCTTATGCAATTTCTCCTTATCACACACAATATATTTTTTTCTTATTCTCCTCTTACCTCCTCAACTCCTATTATTATGATACCTCCTTATGATCTGCTAAAGTTTCTCAACCTTCCATGTAGTCTAAAAAATTTTCTTATTCCCGCCTTACATACTTCCAACTACACTTATTTATTTTTTACCTTTAAATATTCTATTGATGATTTTCTTTCTCGTAACTCTATCTTTATATCTCATAATGTTTTTCTCTCTTTTATTTTTTTTATTCGAGAGCCTACTTCTTATCTATAAGTCGTTAAGAATCCTAAGTGAGTCGATGTTATGAAATAAGAAATCCAAGCTTTTGAGTTCAATAGGATATGGACCTTAGTCTCCTTACTAGTTAGGAAATGACTTATAAGGTGTAAATGGGTTTATAAAGTGAAATTTCATTCGATGGGAGTGTGGAGAGGTATAAAGCTAAGTTAGTAGCCAAAGGTTATACTTAACTAGAAGGCATTGATTATAGTAACACTTTTTCTTTAGTAGTCAAGATGATAATTGTTAGGACTATTGTTGTATTAGTTGTTATACATGATTCACCATTGCACCGGATGGATGTTATTAATGCCATATTATAGGGGATTTTCATAAGGAGGTTTACATGACTTTACCACCTGGATTTAACAATTAGGGTATGGTTCAGGTATGTAGATTGCTTAAATCTCTTTATAGCTTGAAGCAAGTTTTAAGACAACGGAATTTGAAGTTTAATGAAATGATGATATATGCTGGTTTTTTCAGTTTAAATATGATTATTCCATGTTCATTAAAAGGAATAATAGGAATATAGTTTTGTTAGTCTATGTGGATGATATTTTAATTACATGTGATGAAATACAAGGTATAAATAAACCGAAAGTTTTTTTGGCACAAGACTTTCTATATTAAAGACTTGGGATTTCTCAAATATTTTTTGACAATAGAAGTTGCAAGATCAAAACAAAGGATATGTCTTAATCAAAGGAAGTACACGATGGAGTTGTTACATGATGTAGGTCTACTTAGTTCAAAACCAAGTAAAGATGCCACTAGAACGAATTTGAAACTAACTACGAGCATAGCTTGATGAGTCAATTGTTGATGAAATTCGATACTCAATCTTACCCGATCCTATAGAATATCGGAGATTGATAGGGAATATTATTTACCTAACTCGTCACTAAGCCGGACATATGCTATACGATGTAGATTCTAAGCCAATTTATGCATCAACCAAATACTTCTCATATGAACTCAACACTAAGAGTTCTCAAATATTTCAAAAGAAGTCTAGGCCTTGAAATCTTAATGCCTTCTTCTAATGAGTCGAAGCTTAAAGTGTATTATGATTCGATTGAGCTTTTTGTCCTATGACAAGGAAGTCTTTAATTTGTTTTTGTGTGTTTCTTGGTATTTTTCTACTGTCTTAGAAAACAAAGAAGCAGAATGCTATTTCTCGATCATCACCCGAAGTTGAATACAAGCTATGACCACAACTATATGTGAAGTGTTGTGACTTATTGGATTGTTAAAGGAAATAAGAGTTATAGGTTTGGAAGCGATAGAGATGAACCGTGACAACAAAGTTGCATTACTCATTACTTCAAACCTAATTTTCCATGAGAGAACTAAACATATCAAGATTGGTTGCCACCTAGTCAGAGAGAAACTTAAAGTTAGGCTGATTAAGACTATACATGTTAAAATAGAAGAACAAATAACAAATATCTTCATCAAAGGTCTCGGTAGCAAACATTATCAATATCTTACATCCAAGTTAGGTGTTTATGACATGTATAAACTACCAACTTGAGGAAAAATATTAAGAGGGTATTTATGACTTTGGGGTTAGTGGGTTGGTTAAGTAATGTAACATATTTTGTAGGAATATGTTAGTTATGACGTAGAGGATAATAACTTCAAGTGTATATAAGTTTTTTGGATGTAACAAACCGAGGTAGTACTCGAATGTGCAACAAGCTTTTTCTTCGTTCTTCTTCTTCTTAATACAACCCTGTTATATACTTCTAGAAAGAAAAATAGAAATATGTATATATATATATATATATATATATGAACCCAGTAACTTTTCAAATTTTATAATAATGTAAACTATTCATGGTACGTAGTTGTTCATCTAAATCTAGATTTCCCTATCAGCCTTCGTAATGCATTGATATTGAACTTGTCTGATTGGTCTTCTCAAATCAGATTCATTTTCACACAACATATGCACAAACACACAAGAAAAAAAAAAAAAACATTTAAACCTCCCCCTGTCAATCTCTTTATGATCTGTTTTTAGATAAAGAATCCCCACTGGCATATTTTCTTAGTTCTTACAAGTCAACAAAAATAAATAAAAACACGTGTAAGATTCAACACGGTAATTGAAAAATAAATCAGATCATCATATGGTAAAAAAAAAAAAATAACCATGGCAACTGATTTATGAGAATTTTTGGACCCTTGTTTGGAACAAGTTGTTTCCCGTCTGCTTCTATCGGCGTCATTGTGGCGCCATCTGGTAGTCCAACAAGACCATGACCCAAAACGTTTCGATTAACAAGTACACACCTAACGGTTTGCCTTATTAAAAAAGCTATCTTTATTTTATTTTTCTGACAGATAACTAAAATTCATTTTAGGGTCACATTTCCGATTTTTTCCTTTTTTCTTTTCTTCCTTCCTTATTTTATATGCATTATCTCAAAAATCAATTTGATATTAATATATGAAATAGCACTCTAGCTAGTGTCTTGAATCTCGTTTATGATATTTATCTAAATAAATATTTTTTTTAACTTCTACGTACATTAAACTAAAACATATCATATACTTTTCTTATTTTATACTTTATTTTTTTATTTTAACGTCTCTCCCAAAAATAAAATTATTTTTTTCACTAGTGATTAAGTCATTTCTAAGTTGAATTCAAGCATGATATTTAATCTTAACCCGAAAAAAAAAGATTTATGACATTTACTCCCATGCCTGTACGAAAAAATTTATTTCGTACAATCACGCTTTAAAGTAATATATAAAATAACGATGTATAGCAGAAAATGTGCTTACAACTCAAACTAAATTTTAAAATTAATTTATGAAAAAAAAAAGATTAATTTATCTCATCTTCTATGAACTTTCTAAATGGATGAAAGATGTAAAAGGTTGAAAAGGATAAAATGGCATATTTGTAAACATGTTGCATGGAATTGTTATCCTCATCAACATCCCAAGTCAAAATACAATTACTAATCTTAACCATAACATGTAAAATTCCGCTTCTAGAATTTCTTATGTCACCATAAAACATTACCTTTTGTTAATTCTTGCACCACGATTTTTCAAATCCATCGTCCTCTCTAACGAGAAAATAAAAAATAAAAAATGCCCCAAAGTCCTCAAATCTTAAAAGCCATCGGTCCTCACATTAATTTATTATATTCTTCTTTAACTCTTCGTCGCTTTGTGGCACTAAATTTTCAAGCAAAGCATTTTGACAAATTCATTCATCTAGAAGGAGACCAAATGCGCGTTTTCACGTTTTCCAACTATAATAATTTTCCATAATAAGAAATTTACATGCTTGTTCGGTGTTAAAAAATAATATTTTTTTTATGGGTTCGGATTGTAATTTGACAATCCACTTAACATTCAGAAGGATAATTCACTAATAAAAATATATTTAAATAAATTATCATTTATCAAGACTAAATTATTTTTCACATAATTACTTTTTTGAAAATTTAAATGTCAAAAGAAAAAAAAACAAATTTACTTACCATCCAACAAAATCTTTAATAAAATTACAAAGTTACATTTGATAATTTATTTAAATTCTGTTTTTTAAAATGTAAAAAATAATGTCTATTTAATTGCACTTTTCTAAAGACATAAATAAGAATTTGCTAATCATAAATGAATAACAATTGAAGTAGCAAAACAATTAATGTTAAAAAAAGAAAAGAAAAGAAAAAGGTAAACATACCATTAAATGAGAAGATAAAAAACAAAAAGTCAAGATGGAAAAAAAAAGAAGAAGAGGGATCCAATCGAATCAAAGTCTTCGTTCAAAGCGTACAGCATGCGCCGTCTCTCTTCTTCTACTTCTTGCTGCTTTCCTTCTCCAAGAAAAAAGAAGAGAAAAAAAAACCCAATGTAAGAATATTTAATTATAATTAAAAATACCAATTCAATGTAAGACCACCATCGGCCACTTTGACAATTTTTTCTCTAGCTATTTATAAGGAGAGTGGTTTGTTTTAGGACACACTCAATCCTGTTATACCTTTGTGTTCTTCAAAGCGAACCACTCCTGTACTCTCTTACCTTTGTGTTCTTCTTCAAAGGTGGAGATTACTTATAATAATTCATACGATCATAGCTTTCATTGGTGTCTCTGCACTTGTCTAATCTTCTGTCAATTTCTCTCAAAGTTCTTTGCTTTTCTCTTCTTTTCTTGTTCGATTTTGATATTTGTGGTTTTGGGTTCTTGAACTCCATCCGAGGTTTTGATTTGTTGTGAGTTCTGCTTCTGGGTATTTCTGTTTTCATTTAAAGGAGCTGCATTTTTAGCCCTCTTAATTCAAAAGGTTCTGGTCTTTATTAGAGGAAGAGAGAAATGGCTGGTGGTGGGAAAAGGAAGAGGTTGAGTTTAAGCAAACTGTACTCGTTTGCATGTGGAAAGACATCTTTAAAGGGTGATCAGTCCCAGATGGGATCACCTGGATTTTCAAGGGTAGTTCATTGCAATGAGCCAGACTGTTTTGAGGCCAAGATTAGGAAATATAGTAGCAACTATGTTAGTACTACAAAGTACAATGTTGCTACTTTCTTGCCCAAATCATTGTTTGAGCAGTTTAGAAGAGTGGCTAACTTCTATTTCTTGGTTGTGGGTATCGTGTCCTTCACTCCTCTTGCACCTTTCACTGCTGTCAGTGCTATTTTCCCCCTTATTGTTGTTGTTGGAGCTACCATGGTTAAAGAAGGTATTGAAGATTGGAAGAGAGCTAAGCAGGTATGATTTTAATTTTTCATTTGTTTGCTCAGTTTGGATATGTTTATTGAGTATGATTGGTTTCAATAATATCTTCTTGACTTGTTCTCTTAGAGAGAAGTTTCAAATTACTTCACTGGTTGAATGGTATTGATATGGTTTAATGATGAAATTTTGGGACTGTTTTGATACTTTTATTTGGCTGGACATATCTGGGAAATCTTCTCCATAGAAGTTTAATAAGGCTTTAGAGGACAGTGATAAACTAAATGAAAATTTTGACATGTTACTGACAGAGTCTTTATAAAAAAAAGATGTTTCTTTTTCCGAAAGTTAAGAACTAGAGATCATTGATAAATTATGTCTTCAATATGTCTGCTGGAAAGAAAGATCAGAACTTTAGCTCATTTTTATAGATTCATGTCATCATTTCCTTGACTTTGTCTAACTTGTAAGAAATAGTGAAACATCACATACAGGATTAGCCTTCTGCTCTCACCTAGGGTAATTCGTGCTACTGGTTGGCATCGAAAGTCCTGTTCCCTAGAAAAAGTGCTATACAAATTTCAGTCCTGTTGAAGTTGCATATTTTTTACTGCGACTTCTAAAATCCTTCCATGTTCTCAGGATAAGCATACTGATCATCCATCCCCTATTGATATTTGGCATATCTGATTTATACGTTTTCTTTTGGAATGCCTTCTCAGGATATTGAGATGAACAATAGAAAAACTAGAGTGCACCAGGGTGATGGAACTTTCAAATCTACTGGATGGAAGAATCTGAGGGTGGGAGATATAGTGAAGGTCAAGAAGGATGAGTACTTTCCAGCAGACCTCCTCTTGCTTTCATCTACATATGACGATGGAATCTGCTATGTTGAGACCATGAATCTGGATGGAGAGACGAATTTGAAACTGAAACAGGCAGTGGAGGCAACTGCATTCATGCATGAGGACTCTTACTATAGGGATTTCAAGGCTGTTATCAGATGTGAAGATCCAAATACAAATTTGTACTCCTTCGTTGGAACTCTGGACTTCGAACAGAACCTGTATCCCCTCTCTCCTCAACGGCTTCTCCTCAGAGACTCAAAACTCAGAAATACAGAGTATATTTACGGGGCAGTTATCTTCACTGGACATGACACAAAGGTTATGCAAAATGCTACAGCCCCCCTTCAAAGAGAAGCAAATTTGAGAAGCAGATGGATAAAATAGTTTACTTCTTGTTCTTTGTTCTATTTATGATGGCATTTATTGGATCTCTCGTTTTTGGTGTTGTAACTGGCAAGGACTTGGACGGCCAGAGGATGAAAAGGTGGTATCTCAAACCAGATGACTCTACGGTGTACTTTGACCCTAAAAGAGCAGGAATGGCAGCACTTTGTCACTTTCTGACTGCTCTCATGTTATACAATTACTTCATCCCAATCTCCTTGTACGTGTCAATAGAAGTCGTCAAGGTTTTTCAGAGCAATTTCATCAACAACGATATCAATTTATACTACGAGCCAGCTGACAGGCCAGCACATTCTCGCACCTCAAATTTGAATGAGGAGCTTGGGCAAGTTGACACAATACTTTCTGATAAGACTGGAACATTGACCTGCAATTCCATGGAGTTCATCAAGTGTTCTGTCGCTGGGGTTGCTTATGGCCATGGGGTTACAGAGGCTGAGCGGGGAATGGCTATGAGAGAAGATGAAAGCATGAATGGTTGGGATCAAAGCAAGAATTCTTCCACTACAAAACCACACATTAAAGGCTTTAATTTTAAAGATGAAAGAATTATGGATGGGAACTGGATCCATGAGCCCCAAGCTCACATCATCAAAAAGTTTTTCCGCTTGTTGGCAATCTGCCACACTGCTATACCTGATGTGGATGAAGAAACAGGGAAGATTTCGTACGAAGCTGAATCACCAGATGAAGCAGCATTTGTGATTGCTGCAAGAGAAATTGGTTTTGAATTCTACAAAAGGACTCAAACAAGTGTCGCAGTGCGTGAGTACAATCCAAAGACTGGGGGAAAGTTGAAAGGGTGTATACAGTTTTGAACGTTTTGGAGTTTAACAGTGCAAGAAAGCGGATGTCTGTGATAGTAAGAAACGAGGAGGGAAAGCTACTATTACTTTGTAAAGGTGCCGACAGGTTTGTGATCAACTGCCTTGAAACCCTTGACATTGGGAAATTCCTTATCTTTTAACCTATTGCTTATTAATTCAATTTAACCTTTATCCTATGCAGTGTCATGTTTGAAAGGCTTGGTAAGAGTGGTAGGAAGTTTGAAGAAGAGACCAAGAATCATGTGCATGACTATGCTGATTCTGGCCTAAGGACCCTAATTCTTGCCTATCGTGAACTTGATGAAGAAGAATACAAAATTTTTAACCAGAAATTCACTGAGGCTAAGAATTCAGTTAGTGCAGATCGGGAAACACTGATTGATGAAGTGGCAGAGAAGGTTGAGAGGAATCTAATTCTTCTTGGCGCCACTGCTGTTGAGGATAAACTCCAAGAAGGGGTGAGTAAGAAAACCTAAAATGTTTTGGAATAAACCAACCTCTTTAGAGATTTTAACTTAATTTTTCTTCTACTGTACCCATTAGGTTCCTGCCTGCATAGACAAACTTGCTCAAGCTGGAATTAAGATGTGGGTTTTGACTGGAGACAAAATGGAGACTGCCATCAATATTGGGTATGGTTTTTTAAAACGAGTGTTTGTATTGATGCTTTTAAGATGGGCTGTACAGTTCGTATTATACATGGAGGTATCTGACTTAAAGATTTGAATATGCAGCTTCTCCTGTTGTTTGCTTAGACAAGGAATGAAGCAGATCATAATCAATTTGGAGAGTCCAGAGATCCTATCATTGGAAAAAACAGGGAACGAGGATGCCCTTGCTAAGGTAAAGACTGCTTTAATTCACCAAAAGATTTCAATCCACTTCAGGTTATTTACTTGTGGTAGGGATTTATTTTCCTTTTCTCCTGGTGTCATCTTGATGGGGAGAAGGGGGTTTTGAAGTTGAAGATGTACCTTAATTGTTATGAATCTATATTTTATATTGATTGGATACACATTCATTTTCCAGGCATCAAAGGAAAGTGTTCTTCGTCAAATAAATGATGGAAAGGCGCTGATTACTGGACCGAGTGGAACTGCTGAGACATTTGCATTGATAATTGATGGAAAATCACTTGCTTATGCATTAGAGGATGATGTGAAGCATTTGTTGCTAGAGCTTGCTATGAGTTGTGCATCTGTGATTTGTTGCCGTTCATCGCCTAAACAGAAAGCACTGGTGGGTTATCATTCTTTCTGTAGTTTTTCCATTCTGTGGGTGCATATGTGTTATCAGATATTAAAGACTTTATTCTATATACTTCTCTTGAAGGAATGATTTTTTTAAATGGTAAAATACAGGTTACAAGACTAGTCAAATCTGGAACGAGGAAAACAACATTAGCAATTGGCGATGGTGCTAATGACGTGGGTATGCTTCAAGAAGCAGATATTGGGGTTGGAATCAGTGGTGTTGAAGGAATGCAGGTCCTCTCCACAGAACAGCTTACATCTATTTTAATTGTTGCTAATATTTCTCTACTTTCTTGTTATTCTTGCTGTATGTTAAGTGTTAACCCTATTTTATGCTTGTTGTCAACTCAGGCTGCCATGGCAAGTGATGTTGCAATTGCTCAGTTTCGTTATTTGGAGCGTTTGCTACTTGTACACGGTCACTGGTGTTACAGGAGGCTCTCAGCTATGGTAAGGCCATTCATATGTTTGGATTTGAACATGGCTTAACATTTTCAGCATGAATCTTAAATTAACTTCAATGGTTATTGATGCGTGCCACATGCCATCATGAGTTTACACCTTTTCATGATTATCACTGAATGTTTGTTTTCCTTCCATGTGCAGATATGCTACTTCTTCTACAAGAACATTGCCTTTGGTTTCTCCATTTTTCTATTTGAGGCAAATACCTCATTTTCCGCACAGCCTGTATACGATGATTGGTTTTTGTCATTTTACAACGTGTTCTTCACGGCTCTTCCAGTTGCTGCTTTGGGTATCTTTGAACAAGATGTATCTGCTGCAAGTTGTCTCAAGGTATCTCACTCACTCACTTAGCAGACTCAATTACGGTCAGTAGATGGTTAGTAAAGTAAACATCTTGGTCAAATTTTGATCATTTTTTGACTTTATATTGCAGTATCCTCTACTATACCAAGAAGGTGTGAAAAATCTCCTCTTTGGCTGGCGCCGAGTACTTCATTGGCTGGGTAATGGGTTCTACACTGCAATAGTCGTTTTCTTCTTCTGCTCAACTGCACTGCAGCACCAAGCGTTTAATCGTGACGGAAAGACTGTTGGGATGGATGTTTTAGGAGGAACCATGTATACTTGCATTGTGTGGACTGTGAACTTGCAGATGGCACTGACCATTTGTTACTTCACCAAAATACAGCGTGGCCTCATTATTTATTGTCTTACTATGCTGTACCTTTTCTTCTTGGCATTTGGGTCCCTGTCTCCAAAAATGTCTGAAAGTGCTTACAAACTCTTCACAGAAGCCCTTGCCCCAGCTGCTTCTTACTGGTTTACTATGATATTTGTGATAGTCGCAGGACTGTTGCCCTTCTTTGCATATTCAGCAATTGAAACGAGGTTCTTCCCTATGTACCACCAGATGATACAAAGGTTAGAGAGTGGGAAACACGAAGATGATCCTGAGTACTGTGATATGATGCGACAAAGGTTATTACAGCCACCGACGTCAGTAGGTTTCTCAGCACGCTTGGCAGCACGAGCGAATAAGTTAAGGCGTAAGAATAAAAATCAGCCACAATAAGAGCTGATTGTTCTTGGAGGGCATCTGTCAACATTTCTGGTGTGTTTAACTGCTCAAAAGCCGAACTCTGTCCCTGCTGTATATGACTTGTGAGGCTTCTACTTGACCAGAAGGTATGGCGCTGCAAGTTAGGAATTTTTGGTGACTTTTTAAGGAAGCATTGTTCAGTTGTTCCATACGTGGAACAGAAGATCTATGCCAAAAGGAATTTAATTTTTGTTTGTTGTACTTTTTAAAGGAATTATAGTTTTTATACCAACTTGTAATATTATTACACTGTATTTAGGGCACAAGTGAATTCATATTAGATTTGGATTGTATTGCTGTTTACAAGAATAAACTTTCTTCTTTTTCTTATTGTAATTTGCGGCTCTATTGAGTTCATTATTTGTTCTTAATAAACATGGATTCTTTTTAATTTACTACCGCTTATGGACTAGAGTTTCATGTCTTTTTTTCTTATTATCCTAGGCTGAACGTTTGCAATGATCATTTATTGGACCTTGAATTTCTCGCCCATACTGCTCTCTCCCTTCTCCTTTTTGGTGCTCTTGGCCATAATGTTGTTTCCTTGGCAGAAGATATGGGCAATAAAATTGCTTGTTCTTAACTTGGGATACGCCATAGCAAGAGCTGGTTAGTGAACTTCCTTATCTCCTTGGTTTAATTTCTAAATGGGTTAGTTGCGCAAAAGTTTTACCCCTAATCTCAGTGGTTTCAGGTTTGATTCAATTTGATCTATAATTGTGTTGCCTCGGTCAATTTAAACCATTACTGTGAGTTCTCATTCCATCTCTCACCCTTAGTTATCATTTGTATTTGAGTTTGCTTTTGCCGAGTCAGACTAATCAATTTTCTGCAGAATTCTTTCTATGATCATCAGAACAGAATGTCAATTTACGAACATAATTTTCACCACACATTTTTCTTTTTTATTAAATCTGTTACTGCAAACATATATAAAACGGGGATCAATTGAGTGGCTAATCCACTAGTTGATGCATAGAAATGGCTATATCAGGATGGAGCTTTAGCGTTGTACCGTCCACTATGATAGGGAAAAACAGTTTCTCATGGAATAAGTTCTTCATATAAATACATGACGCTGGTATCATCAGTAATTGCCAGAAACAGATTTCCAATATCCGAACAAACCTCTTACATTACCACAACCATAGTTTTATTCTCAGTTGTAGAGTTGGTACCCCTTAAATCTTATTTTTAGCTATCCAATTACACAGACCAATAACTACCCTTTCGCCCAAGAATCGTTGCTTCCAGTTTCATGCATTCAGAAGCCAAATTGCTTTCTCAAATGCAGATCCTTGACCTTAAACGTTTCCGTACGTTCATAGATTGGTGATGCCACCTGTAATGTCATGTAGCAGAAAATTTGGTAATGAAAATCTTGGACTAGTAGATAAAATATCAGTTTCATGTTATTTATTTATGTCAATTATACCAACGACCAACCACTGAAATAAATATAACATTATACAATCTACAAGTTGTGTTAACGATTGTTTCAAGTGGGATTCAGGTCTCTCCTCCTCCTCCTTCTCCTTCCATCTTGTTCACAGGTATCCCATGGCCAGATCTTTAAAAAAAAAAAAAAATGCATGTACAGACACAAGAAATTACGACGAAAATCGAAGGGGGAAAAAAGAAAAAAAAAGGAAAAGAAAAGGTCATGGGATCAATTCAAACCATCAATGATATTGCAGATCCCGTCAAAGTACAAAATGCTAAAGATACATTGATGGATATTGCAGATCCGTAACCCCATATCCATGTATTAAAAAAACCATACTCATCGGGCTCTATGGAACTTTCATGCCAAGAAAATCAGCAGCAGATTTAGCCAGGATGTTCGCGAACTCATTAAAACTCAAAACACCATCTCCATTTGTGTCAGCCTCTCTCATCATATCTGATAGCTCGCGATAAGTCAAAGGGTGTCCCATTTTAGCCATTGATCCAGCAAGCTCAGCTGCAGTAATGAATCCATTGCCATCCCTGTCAAATGACCGAAAAACCTCCAACAATTGCTCCTGGTTGATCAAGACTTCTTCATTCATATCGGGCAATATAGCACTAACCAATTCATCAAATTCAACATAACCGTTGCCATTAGCATCCATGTTTGATAACAAACCATGAAGTTGATCACCTGTAGGTTTGAGGCCAAGAGAACGTAGAAGCGCAGCGAGCTCTAGCTGCGTAAGGCTGCCATCGGAATCCATGTCGAAGCGCATGAAGATGTCCTTAAGCTGCTTGAGCTGATCGGTCTGAAGGGTCGCCATCATGGCTCGAAATGGAGAAGGTGAAAGAAAAAGAAAGGAACGGTTTTTTTTTTGTCTTGTTTATGTCTGTATTTTTTGGTTGGTCATGGATGTGGGAGCTAATTGCGTGTTCTTTTTGAACTGGTATGGTTCAACCAAAACCGCGTTATATCATTGTCGTGTTATGTGGAGATTAAAAGAGCAAAAGATTTAAAGAACTGAAGTTTGTCAAAAAAACATTTTGTGCACATGAGGGCATGTGGGCTGGCGGTGCCTTTAGTGTTTTTCTGCTCTTTTTCATCTATATATTTAGGAAAATATTTTATCTTAGATACAATCTACTTATGGCTTTGGAAACGTACCCTAACTGATAAAAAAAAAAATCTAGCTGGTAAATATGGATTTGTTTATGAAAGCATCAACTGAAGAAAACTTTAATTTTAATTTGGAAAATCTATCTTTATTGGCAAATAAATAATCTTTGTTGTATTCTTTTAGTTTTTGAATTTACGATCAGTATGGGTTTCAACTTCCAAAGTTATTGTTTCTGCTGACTGCCCAAATTTCTGAGAGAATTCAGTGCATTTTGAGGTCAGTAGTTGACTAGTTATAAATAAAATTAAAATAAAATCATGGTTTTTTTATTCATTTACTATTTAAAACATTATTTATTCCAATTATTTTTACTATTCACTCAGATTCAGATCTACTATTTATTTTACTATACATGGTATTTTTATAATTTTAAATACATTTATTATGAAAGTTTTTGTAATATTATGCTTTGGTTTTTTTTTTTAAAATATGATTTTTTCAATCCACAAATATTTTTTGTTTGGTTTCGATCTCTCTTTTTTGTTTTGTGTTGATCACTTTAGTGCTTTTTTTCTCTGATTTTTTAATAAAAAATTTTAAGGCAAAAAATATTTTAAAAAATTATAAATTAAATTTTTAATTAAGAATCTATTGATTTTGACATTCTTTATACTATTAAATAATTTTTTTGAGAAAAATTTATGAGAAATATAAAAAATGATTAGTCAAATATAAAATTTGATGTATCTTGATAGATATATAATATAAAATGAGATATCAAAATGAAATAATTTTTAAAAATAATTTTATGTATTTTATCCGATCGTAGCATAACATCTATAAAAAATCTAGTAACAACTAATACGGGATGTGACTCTTTAAAAAAAAATTGACTGCGCTAAATATGCATTGTGAGCAATAAAACCAATTATGGAAAATTACTCCATATGTACAACGCAGCATTGAACCTTCTTAGAAAATCCACCATATTTGTTCTTTATGACCAACGATATAATAATAGGGGGTGACTACAATGCCGGTGCTGGTTACAGTTTTGGATCTGAATTTACTATAAAAATTTCATTACCATGTAATCAGAATTGTAGTTTCATCCATGTCAGCATTCTAGACTCACTCTAATGTATGCATTGACATGTTAGAGCAAAATATCCTAATGGTGGATAAAGAATATTGGCTTAGACGCAGATTTCTAATAAAATGGAACTATGGATATGTTCATAAATTGGCAATAGAACTTTTTTTTTTTTTTTTTTTTGGGTTAAATCATGATGAATTAATGTCTGAAAGAAGTACTAATTATTTCAACCAATTCAAACTTTACAACACTTAAATCAAATTCATGTACAGCGGCTGTACATGTTTGAGAGGTCCCTGATCCAGCCCTACCCCAAAAGCTTCCAAAAGCAAACTCGCCCTTCTGAGAAAATTCTTCTAAGACCTTCTCAACTTCCTCCATGCAATTTCCACAATCATGGTCCCCATGGAAGTCATCTACTTGAATTCTTACAGAACTTTCTTGAAATTCCACAAACCTATCCTGAACTCTACCTTTTACTGATTCTAATATCTTCTTTTCTTTCTTTCTGTGCCAAAGCTTCTTCTTTGCGTATGCTTTAGTCTTCTGAATGAGTTTGGGAGGAAGTTTGAGCAAGAGGAACACGATCAGTTGTAACATCAAGCATTGGCAGCAACAGGATATGACAACACAATCCGCAGCTACCATGTTCCTGTCTTCCATGGCTGAGAAAGATGGAAGAAGGAAGGAGATGGTGTTGATAAAGAAAAATGGTTGCTAGAAGCCGCATGTCTTGATAAGGTATAAGTTCCTTGTCCTCATGGGAGGGAAATTAGAAAGGGTAAAGCAAACAGAATGATATGTGGCAATGCTAGAAAAAGGGTGGCAATCATTCATGACTTCAAAGATTACATGCTGAATTTCCTGAAATTGCAGCCATAGCTTTCAGTTTGGGCCATTGCATATACTAATAGAATACTGGACGTAAAGGAAAACATAGGGTGTCCTGATCTTGTTGCTTGAAATCTACTTTTCATGGGAATTGGATGGTTACGTGTATGACCTCAAGCCTTGCCTTGAGTGTTTTGAAGTTTCTTCAAGAATCTCTCTTCCTCGAGACATTAAAATTAATAAAATTAGTTACTGTCTACGCAATGGCTTTCTTCACAAACTTTTCAATTGAGTCGTCCGAACGGATAGGCTATAGCTGTCTGCATGAACATTTGCTTTTTCCCAAAGCCAATATGGTTGCGCGCCTTTATTCTTCCAGACTCTAGCTGCTAAAACTTCAAAACAGGGGATTGAAGCGATTGGCATGAGCTGTAATCAATCACCACAGATTTCAAGTCTTTCACTAATTCACGTTGAGCCAGTTCAGAGGTGTCTTTTTTAACGAAGCAAGAGCATTCTTTATTTAATTAAAAGCTTTCGTCGAAGATCGATGCATGTGAGGCACAATGGATCAGTCACCGCTCCCCATAACTAGTCACATTGGCACCACCCTGTGGTGGTGCAATCATCAGTTGCTACAAATGCATCACTGCAGATTTACTTACTCCATTCATCTATTTTGCTTTTCATTGTTCATTACTCTGTCATCCACAGGAAAGAAAGAAAACTGCTTGGCATGAAACGAGAAATACAACAGAAAACGATAACTCGATTAAGGTCGTCAACTGAGAGTCACAGAACTCTTAGATACTTCAAGAAGAAAGAACAAAATTGAATCGAAACTTTATTAACATAAAAAATACTGTTCACAACAAAAATTTGCAGGTGCTAATTACAAGAGCAAAGAATTGCAGCGCCTACGAAGTGGGAAGACTAAAATAACCTAGCTACCAGTATTATGGGCCTGAAATCCCAACCCTACAGCAGACAGTTAATTTCAGAGACCGTCCTGTACATCTTGAGCTTGTATAGGCTCCATCTCAAAATTCACGAATCCTACTGTTCATAGATGAATTCATCTCCAACACTATTTACCATGTGATCTTTTAAATATCGACACTAAAAAAATCTGTACTGTAATTTTGACTACCAAATGCCATCCTTCGAAATAGTCTAATTTCTTCAGATTGTTGCGCAGAGTTAAATAACTCACTTTCTCCCACTCTCATTCCATTGGTTAGATCTGCAGTTGCTAAAGTGTCGAAAGCTCTAACAACCTGAGAAGCATAAGCAGGCTTAGAGAAATACATCCCACCATCTCCAAATCCGAATATATAATGATAGAAGCAAGAATTTTCAGCTAGTTCCGTGATCAAGTTGTAATTACCTGTCCCATCCGTGGCCTCTTAGCAGCAGAATGCCGCACACAGGCTGCAGCAGCCTCAATCATCTGGAACATTTCACTTTCAATGTAGTTCTTTTCAAGCCTTGGATCTGCCAAACTTTCAAATTCCTCATTTTCTAGTGCCTGATTTAGCAAAGGTCGAGCCTGAAAGAAAAAGTACGCTTTTGGTGACAAAAGTTTGAGCATGAAATTATGGAAGACCAAATACTAGTTTAACACACAGTCTATTTATTTCAATACATACATTTTTCCTTTTTCTTTTTATACATCAAAAATATATATATATAAACAAATACATTGTTGGAAAGAAAACAAAAGAAAACTACAAAAAACAGGATTATGTATTCTCCACCATAAGGTACAGAGAACAGGAAACAACATCAAGACAAAATCTTTCAAGACATACCATTGTTTCACCTCTGTGCATTCGTTTCATTGGTTATACATTTTCTATTATTCATGCATGAGGATTATCATAATTTATTCATGCATGAGGAACATCATAATTATCTACTGAAAATAATTCAGGGTTCAGTAAGATTAGTCCTAGATCTGGGATGGTTTTCAATTTTCCATCCACCAACTTATTTTCTTCAGTAAAAAATGTATATATGATTAGAGGCCACAGGCCACAAATTCAATGGAGCTCCCAGAAAACTCAACAGAACCCTGACCCCCTCCTCGTCGTACACTAAGAAAATAACATCCCCTCATTAAGCAAATCTTCCAAACAACCAAATTCTAAATAAGCAGATGTTCCTTAAATTAAACCACTACAGGAATCTATAAGAAGTTTGGACCAAACTCTCTGATTCTATCTACAATTCACATGTGGGAAGCTAGTGTTGTTTAGAGCATAAAATAATACTGTTTCTATTACTCTTGTAACTAATGTTCTAACAAATGTAGCAACTTCAGCAACGTCTCATCATATCAAAACTGAGCAGTAAGAAGAAAACATATAACAGAAAGCATAAAAAATTACATGACTCAAACTAAACCATATCGATAAATTACATGATAAGTTGCAACTTCAGGAAAAATGATCTAACTGAATTTATCTTTTATTTCATCCTGAAATGAAAGGCAAATCCTTAGGATAGATCTGTTCAGCAGACAAAGAATGCTAAGAACACGGTCCACTTAAGAGTAACCGATCCATCCATGAAACTCTCATTCAAATCCTTAATACTCGTAACTAGGTTATTGGACGTATCTTTAATGCATGCTTCAGTGAACAATCAACAATTCATGAAAATTGAATGAGGCTTTCGTTCAGCAGCAGAATGCTAGCCAGGGTTCATAAACAATTTACCCATTCAACAAGACTCTCCTCTCCCAAGGGCTGGGATGCATCCACAGGCTTCCGTCCAGTGATTAGCTCCAAAAGCACGACTCCATATGAGAAGACATCAGATTTCTCTGTTAATTTGCCGCTCGATGCATACTCAGGGGCCATGTATCTGAGTAATCAATTAAACATTAGCTGCACATAAACATGGCTGATATATGCTGCACAGGAAAAGAAAATCATATGCAGCTGTACTTCAAAAATAGTATTCCCATCAACTCCTGACTGCCCGAAACCATCAATCACAAAAAGAAAAAACAAAAAAAAAAAACAGAGAGAGAGACTAGGGGTGCCTCTCTGTAGTTCTGTAGCTGCAGGTATTTAAGCAAATAATAGATGAGCTCTTACCCAAAGGTTCCCATAACACGAGTCGTTATGTGAGTGTTTGAATCGAGAGCTAACTTGGCAAGCCCAAAATCTGAAACCTGCAAAGTAAAATCTAGAAACAGTTAAATCACAATCTACTTGAAACTAATAATAAATAAACGTTAAAGGAAAAACCATGCATACCTTAGCTTCGAAGTTGTTATCTAAAAGAATGTTTGACGACTTAATATCCCTGTGAATAATCCGAGGATGACCTAAATGAATAATAGTCAGTCAAATGACTAATACCTACACCATATGTAGTCTAATAAGAAATTTAATTCATTATTTTAGTGAAAGAAACATGTGCACCTATCAGCGAACATCCCATGGCAAGGCTTCTTATTTATATGTTCTTAACTCTATATCATCAGTAGTACTAAAATTGATATGTTCATGCTAATATTGATTAAGATGGAATTCTGCATATGCTTTTAGGATAAGAATCTTGTAAAATCACATTAATTTATTAGATTGTTGTTTTTTATTAGTAAAAGTTGGATCGTGACATTTGAAAATGAAGAGCAGGTACCTATGGGTAGCTTAACCTTTCAATAACCAGAATCAGGGAAAAGGAAAACAGTTGCCATGTGTTGAAAAAGAATTAAAAACAGGTGAATAATGTCTTCAACTCATTTTGGAAGTGAAATGTAAACATTATCTAGCTACCAAAATCCAGATTTCAAATACTTACAGTCTTCATGAAGATAAGCTATTCCCCGAGCTGCGCCAGCAGCAATCTTAACACGTGTTGCCCAGTCCAGAGCCAGTCTACCCACCCCTACAGATATAAAGACCAACAAGCATGACTGCTGAACCATTTTTACAAACTAACATGCCAAATCTCAGTTATGAGTCATAGCTTTACCATGAAGATGGAAATGAAGGGTATTGTTAGGGACATAATCATATACGAGCAATCTTCGGGTCTCAGATATGCAGTATCCCACAAGTGAAACCAAATGGCGATGGTGTATACGACTAATAATCTCAACTTCAGCTTTAAATTCTCGCTCACCTTGCCCTCCACCAATTTTTAGCTGTTTCACTGCCACATCTCTACCATCTGGTAGGTAACCTTTATATACAGAACCAAATCCACCTTCTCCCAAAAGGTTTTGGGATGAAAACCCATTTGTCGCTTTGACTAGCTCTTCAAATGCAAACAAAGGCCTTGAATTACCTAATCCACTTGATTCAGTTGGCAAAGAAAAACAATCACTGCTAGAACCACTTGCTATTAGGGGCGCCGTGGACTGAGTCTTTGTGAAAGTTGAACCTGAGGGGACAAATTTAAAGAACTCCAGAGTTCTTGTCAACAATCTCATTAAATGCAAGTACACTAGGAATAGATTACCCTCTTAATAGAAGAGTTGACAATAGATTAACGAATTATCTGTATTCTTACAAGATCAAAATGATCATATGACACGATTTAATCTTTTTTATTTGTTAAACTACTAACAAAAAAATATGCTTTCGAACATTTCATTGCAAGTCAGATGCAGTTCAAATTGCAAAGGTTATATCAAAATACGAGAAAAAACACCAATGAAAGTTTTGGGCGTGCGTTAAAGAAAGAACCTCTTGGCAGAGTTCCCAATAGCTCAATTTGGTGACTAGGAGTGGTACTGTTGCGAAAATTCATAACATGCTAAAGAAGCAATGGTGAAATGCTGTTTAAAATATATACCTGATCTTGGAGAAGAGCCCAGAGAAGATGGCATAACATAAACACCATTAAGTCCAGAAATCTCTTTTCGCCGCTTCCTCATGCACCAGAGAGCCAATCCAATAACGCTGAGCATTATAATTCCTATTGCTGCACCAATAGCCACCATACCTCCAGTACCAATGCCCCCATTACCTGTGGAGTTCGAATTCTCAGGTGAATTAGGGGTAGTATTGTTCGTGTGGGATGGCGGGGAAACAAGTGAGGCTGGAGGTGGAGCCAATCTTATTGTTGGTGGTGACAATGCTGGTGGAGTGGAAACTGATGGGACAGGTGTTGGTTGAGGAGCAGTTGGAGTTGCAGGAGTAAGCCTAGGAGGTGGGGGCGCATTACTGGGACGAGGGGCTATTGACGCTGGTGGAGGTGGTGAATTCTCAGGTGGAGTTGATGCTGGCGGCGGAGGTGATCTTCGGGGAGGTGGCACGGATGCTGGTGGTGGGGGAGGATTGGAAGGTGATTGTGATCGGGTTGGAGGAGGTGGTGGCGGTGAATTTTGAGGTGGCCTTGATGAGGGTGGCGGCGGAGGTGAACTCTGAGGTGGCGGTGTTGAGGATGGTGGTGGGGGTGAGCTCTGAGGTGGCCGTGTTGTTGATGGTGGTGGAGGAGAACTCCGAGGTGGCCGTGTTGTTGATGGTGGTGGAGGTGAACTCTGAGGTGGCGGTGTTGTTGATGGTGGTGGAGGTGAACTCTGTGGTGGCGGTGTTGATGATGGTGGTGGAGGAGAATTCTGAGGTGGTGGTGTTGATGATGGTGGTGGAGGGGAACTTGTAGGTGGATTCAACGTTGGTGGTGGCGGTGAAGCTGATGGTGGTGGTGGAGGTGAGCTCACGGGCGGAGTTGCTGATGGTGGTGGAGGAGAAATGGAGTTCGATGGAGGATCACTACTGGATACAGCTGGAGAAGGTGGTGGTGGTTGTGGCTGTGGTGGAGGGGTTGATGGTGTGGCAGGAGGAGGGGATTGAGGTGGTGGGGATGGAATTGAAGGTGTAGGAGGAGGAGAAGAGGCTTGCGGTGGGGAGCTAGTAGAGGATGGTGGTGGTGCTGTACTTTTTGAAGGGGGTGGAACAGCTGAGGGGGGTGAATTTGGGGATGGAGGTACCGTAGCCATCACTACAGTTCCAAATCAAGTGATTTTGAATTACAAGTCATACAATAATTCACTTCACAAAATTCTAACCTCCATTAACTTTTTCACTATGTTCTCTCAATTCCAGTACAAAAGGCAAAATTTTGATCAAAACACACCGATCAGTTTCAAGAAATTCCTCTAAATTTACTAACTTTGAAACCAAAAGAGATTCAAATCACCAAACTTCACCAACCAAATCCTGAAAAAGTCACCAAACGTAATACTTGAAATCACAGTAACCTCTTTGGAGCCAGACCCTAATCACTTTCGGACTCTTTAGCTAAACCCAGATTTCCAATCTCTTTTCCAAACAATACCCAGATCACGAATCACAAACAACACCCAAATTACTAAATTTAGAGTAAAATTAAAAGATTCAGACTTTGATCTATAAACTGATTCCAGCAACACCAATAAGATCCTCCGCAGGCAGTGAGCAAATGCAGCGACACTTACACCATTACTTCTTCAGGTCATTTGCATTGCAGCCAATATGGGCTGATTCTTTAAACTCTCTCTTTCTCTTTCTCCGTGTCTTACCTACATAGGAAATTCAAACGAGGAACACGGATTGTGGGGTCTCAAATCCTCAGCAGTGTTGATAGAGACCCTCAAAGAAGAAGAATGATGAGGCCGTTTTTTTTGTTTGCCCCCCGTGGCATGAAAAGTAAACATTCACAGATTTTAAAAATCATCAAAACACCATCGTCGCCATCATAATAATGTTATTATTAAAGGTCCATTAAAGCCTATGACTTGCTTCATGGTAACGTCAAGTCCATAATATATATTTTTATCAACAAATGGCCTTCTTTTTCCATTTTAAGGGTCAGCGTGTATTAATGCTATCTTCCCAGTACTGAGGTTAAATTATTTATACTTACTGCTAAAGTTTTTTTTCATTGCATCTGAAGTAAGTTATTTATTTTTATAAATTTATTTTTTCTTTATTTTCACAATTTTTATAAAATTAAAAAAAAGAAAAGAAAAAGAAATCACTGAAAATGAAGCCAAAAGGTACTCTCTCGTCATTAATGAATACTCTTTGAAAACCATGGACTTTTTTTGGTGGTTTTTTTTGTATATATCTTGAAGTTATTTATTTCTTTATTTTCAAATGACTTAGATTTGATTATTAAAAAAAAAAACAGAAAATGTAATTAGATACCCACCTTCCCCACAAAATAATGATTTTGTCTTGAAGCCTAGTTTGATACTATAAACAAATCCATAATGTTCTGTAATCTATCTGTTAATTTGGACTTTTCTTCTAAGAGCTGGCCCCAGTTTGACTGAAATGAATTATTATAATGCCACCTTTATTTAATACAGCATAGTTTTCATAGCTATTAAAAATACATGTGATGCCATGCATTGTTTTCCTTTTTAATTTTCTCCAAAGAACAAATCAACATTGATCATTGTTTTCTAATTTAGACATACCCTTCTGATAAAAACAAGGAAAATGTTCAGAGCATAACGTGATTATCATGTAATAGCGCATGCAAATATTTTTCTATCCATTTGCATTTCTTTTTCTTCTTCTGTTTTTGCCCCTCTATGCTCATGTGAATATCGTAACATGCAGATGCAATGGCTGTGTCGTGTGTGAAAATAACTAGTAATTGCGTGACAGCAGAGTACAAACCCACCATAAATTATCTATTTAGATTGCCAATGATAGGGAATACTACCATTCTGATCCACTTCAAGATGTAAACAAAGGAACTATAATACAAAACAGCGAGTGGAAATTGGGATGTGAAGTGGATGGTAGAGAATTTAGAATAAAAAGTGGTGATTAATTTGTTTGGTGCGAGACAATTGTAGCTAGCAATATCAAGATCGAAGAGGCTCTTCCCATCGGAAAATTCCAGACAAAATGGACAAAATATTTATAAATGCTGGTGGGCCATCCAATCATTGACATAGATAGGGCAGCCCGTGAAACTTCAAATTCAATTTTATTTATTTTTTAAAGAACTGAAAAGAAATTCAACTTCTTTTTTTTTTCAAAGAAAAGGAAAATGCTCAGAGTTTAATGTTTCTACGTTTTGACCCTCTCAAAAAAAAAAAAAAAAAAAATTCTAGATTTTGACATTGTAATAGTCTCCTCATAACATAATGACTTCTTTTTGTTTCTTTGTTTTTTTATTCTTAACTGAATCTTAATTTACGTTTTGATTTTGGACGTAAATAGTTTATTCCTTTTAATTAATTCAATTAAAGGTGTCGGTGGAGGCCGAAAGAAATAAGCAAACCTTAAATTTGGCAAAGCGCGTCCTGGAGGAGTAAATTATAAATTAGTCCCTACAGTTTTTTTAAAGGAAATTAAATAATTCATCTAGTTTCAATAACTAATTAACTAGTTTTGTGTTTCTAAAATCTATTCGTTGTTTAATCATTTTTATTTTTTAAAATTTATTTCGTTTTTTAGTTTTAAAAATAAATAAATAATACAAAAATGCTATTTTTAAAATAAGATGATATTAAATTATTCATAATTAACACTAATCAAATTACTAATTAATTAATTTTTTTTAAAAAAAAAAACTATTCATTTTATTTTGTAAAACTAAAAGAACTAATTTATAATTTACTTCGTCCTGGATCTATGCACGCCCTTTTTTAGCATCGAATTTAAAAGCCCAACAAACTACGCTCAAAAGCTAGGGAGGTAATTAAGCTTTTGAATAGCTGTGACTGTGAGTGAACCATTAATATTAGTAATTAATACTCCCTTTCTATTGTTTTCTTTTACTTGTTATATATATATATATATATATAATGATTATTAATTGGTATATCATATCAACATACTTATTCTTTTCAATTTTTAATTTTAAGAATTGTATTTAGACAGAATTTTACAAAAGGAAGTTTAGTTGATGGTATTTTAAGAAAATACATTACTTAAAGTTTGAATTATATAAATATTTTAAGATAGATTTAAATAAAAAGATATAAAACAAATATATTTGCTAGCTTGGAGTCTATCGGAATTAGTATATTAATGAACTATACATTCTATTTATTGCATATAAATGGGCAAAAGATGAAAATCTATAATGCTTCCCATGTAAAAAAGAGAGCTCCGTGATGCTTTCAAAAGTCGCAAGCAATCGGATTGGGTAAAAAATTCGGACAACATATGATGTGCTCCAAATTTATTTCTGGAATGGTCGCCCAGAAGTTTAATTAGTATGATTATAAGTCGTTATGCTTACCATGTTATTATCTAGGTTAGAATCTCACTGGATGTTGGAAAAGAAAGAAAAAATGAAAAATGCGTCATTCTATTTGCAAACCATCCAGTTAAAATCCAAGGATTTTAATTGTTGTTCAGAAACGACCCTGAAAAAGCCTTTATCTGTAAAAAGAGAGGAAGAAAAAAAACAGAGAGAGAGAAAAGAGGATAGCTAGCCTAGCCTGAAGCACGAACTGTTAATTGCCCAGTTATTGGGTTCGGTCAAATTTAGGGACAACGTGTGATGTGCTCAAAATCCACCTGTACAAACATCAATTGTCGGTAATAGCCCATTAATTTTTTTGCCTTCAATTGCATAGAATTGTCTGTATAAATTACTCGTGTTCAGCTCAACAACCAAGAAATTTCTCAATCTCGCCTTGAGTGGTTGTACAAAATTTTAGAAGTGAATTCTGGATTAATTGAAGTGCTGCTACACGAGCGTGGCGCCCGCCCCCCCCCCCCCCCCCCCACATGAACTTTGATTAAGCTGTTTGTGTAGAGTCCAATTGAATGTGTCCGTACTGTTTCTCCTCAGGTTTGGAACTTTGGATGGTTCCAAGAAGGAGACTGACATGTTTTTTTTAAAAAAACTTGGTTGGGACATGTTTTGGACTTGTATCTGTTGGTGGGTTTTAAATATATATATACTTGATGACACCATGATGACATATTATTTTTAAAAATAAAAAATTTTTAAGGATAAATTTAAAAAACAAAAAAATTAAATAATATAATAGTCATTAAAATAAAGTACTTAATATTTTTTTTCTCTTGTATTCCTTTAAGAAATAAATATGATCATTATAAAATTATGATGATTTCATCATTATAATTTTATAAATATAGTGCTTCTTGAAGAGATAGGGAAGAAAAAAGTAGGTTGCTGCAGTATAAATATTGGCAAAAACCGACCTTGTATACCTTGATTTGAATTTAATGATATTATTTTGTTGGATCATTCAAATCTAGGGCTATAATACCTGTATTCTAGACTTTTTCCTAAATAAATGAGGCATTGATCTAGAATGTCAGCGTCACTAAATACGGTATCAGTATTTAGCGATGCTGACAATTGTGCGTTATACATCCATCTCGGTTTGTATAGGAACTCGGAAGGAAGGTAGTATTGAACTGTCCAAGTGTATCCTGTCTGCCAACAAGATGACACACCCACTTTTGGGCCTCGGCGATAGAATTGGTCAAGAAAATCAAGGAAAGGTCTATTCTCCCCAAAATAATCACAACTCACAGGTCTCGACGAACCACATGCAATGGCTAAAGTCAACTGCTAGGCTATTGCTCCCAGTCTACTGTATATTTGACTTTTACCCCGCTGCACGTGCAAGCTCTATGTAGCTTGGATACACTGACGCGACAAGAACTCGGACCCTGTTTCCGACCATTTCCATCGACTACTCAAAACCCGCTTTCGTTTAACCTGTCAAGGAGCCAGGGAATTTATGCAGACAGACATGGGCATGAGCCTATGAGTACCAGCACAAAGCAGAACGCAGAAGCACGCGTGAATATTTGTGTTTAATAACAAGATACAAATGATTTTGTAGAAAACGTTCAGATTGAAAAAAAAAAAAAACATTAATTAGATCCTTTTCCGTGGTTTTGACAAATCATTACATCTTCACATCAAAACTATCCAAAATCATAAAAACAGCATCAATTTCAGCCCAAACGCGCGCACATTACCAAAAAGAACCTTAATGATGTTTATTTAAGGAAACAGTCATAAATATATCACAGGCTACCTTTAGAAGAGTGCTCATGGGTGCCTTGGTTGCCCAAAGGACATCAATGTAACCCATTATTGAAATATTCACAAAAAAAAAAAAAAATTATAGCAGTTTCCTTTGACACTTTAGCATTACTGGAGGCAACAGTGGTTACGCTAAATTCTGGAATTAGAATTCTTCGGTCGTTAGTTGCCTACGTGCACCTTGTGGTGACTCATGAATGAACCCCTCTGGATTCAATATAATCAGTTATCCTTCCATATTCGAGGACCAAAACCAGGTGGTGCAACGGGAACTATCAAGGTAAGAGACACATCAGTAGCAAAGAGAATGTCTCAACCTGAAACGGAAGAATGAAAAATGTGGACAGACCAGGAGATCAGTTTTTCTTTTTGGCCAGTACAGAGTTTCTTCTTTTAGTAATCTCAGCTGCCCAGCTCTTTCCTATTTCAGTTTGAAATTTTCCTACAGATAAAAGGGACGTAGGAAAATCATGAACAAAATTTTGACAAAGTAAAATCAAATAATCAGAAAGCTCCAATTTTACAAAGTTTGCGATGAGCAAGTAGCAGATTCTACCTGCTGTCGAAAGGAAAAACTCATCTAAAACCTTCCCGTGTTCTGCAAAACCATAATGATATCGAATGAGAAAAAGCCATGGAAGCAGAACATATAAATTCGTCAGATTACCTACCCATTTCATATTCCAAGGCTTGCAAAATCATCTCAACCTGAACATGAGATGTGGAACCTTAGATTACTAACAAAGAATAGAACACAGGATAAATGCAAATCAAGTGCTATAAGAAAACCATCTAAGTGGTTGAGGGATTTGCTTCAGGGGAGTATGAACTTTGTAAGTTAAACACATTGAAGTTAATTACAGTAGAAGCCATTTATAGCATCAACATGGGTGGTTTTCTGAGTTTATACAAGGGCATGCATGTATCAACCAAGAGAAAGGGAGCTAAAACACATTTCAACAGCAACTGGGGAACATATCAAGCACAAAATGAGGAGGATCACAATGTCAATGGATGGAAAAAGTCCCTGGGCAGAAACCAAACTACTTTAAAGTTTTATTTTATTATTATTTTTTTTTAACAATGTCCTTGATCCTTGACACATAATGGCCATCAGAGACAGCTTCCTGCAGCTTTTCTAAAAGATTGATCATCAATAATTCAAAAGTAGATATGGATATATGACATACATGGTAAACACATTTAATTTGAAGACTGTCCTGTGTTTCGATGAGTTTCACCGCATATTGCAATAGCAAGAAAATCAATTGATAAGAAGTTTTGGGAACCATACACCTGCTTCTTTATAAAATCATTCAAAACTTCAAATTTCATAACATACTTTGTCAAAGTCTTTGACAAGGTTGGCCTCCAATGAAGCATTGTTCTCATACTCCGCCCATAACTCTTTAATCTCTTCAGCTGAAAAATGAAAATACTTAATTCCAGAAAATTCAAAGCTGAAACTACTAAATGTCAAGATAACAAGAGTCACTAAATAGTTGAATACCCCTCATTCCTCCACCAAGAACTTCGCACATGTCATTTAATGCCGCTTGCTCCATCCTACTCTTTTCTGGTTTGGGCACACCATCTGATGGTGTTATATCTCCAACAATAGCTATCGAAGTCCAAACCCCAACTCAAAAATCAAAACTCCAACAAAATATATATGCATATTAAGCAAAAGTAAAACACAATAGGCTTAATTTGATATATAAAAAGAAAACTATTACTACAAACATGGAATAGAATCACCAATCCATGCTGTTGTTATTGTTGAGTTCTTCTCCCATTCTACAATTATAAACAAAACATAATTCTGATTTCTGATTGCAACACAAATATTTGGAGACATACATTGTTCTCTCACTCATTAGGTGTAAGCTTATGTATACTCTATAGACTTTAGTGGCTTTTGAGCATCAGACTATATGTTTTACCTTTTTTGGCTTGACAGTAGTCGAAAAGTGACAAAAGAACCACATTAAATACGCTCATGAAAATCAAACATTGATATCTGCTCTACTAATTTTAGCCAAAATTTTGTTCTATGTAAGGATCTGTTCTCCTAAAATTAAGTCCACTTTTTTCCAGAGTTAGTGATCTATTCATGATGTGCTATGGCTGAGGCAGCTCAAGTAGAACCTCAAGCCATTTATGCAGCAAGGAGCTATTTTTTGAGGTTAACGACCAACATGGATTCAAGACATGATTTTGCTTAGGCAAGACACTATAACACCCAAATCACATATAAATAACAAATTATTTATCAACCATATTGGTCAATTGAAAAATATTCAGTATAATACCTTCTGCAATGTCATGCACAATCGCAATCTTTATACACCTGTTACAATAAGGGGGACAAAAAATCATAAGCAAACTCCCAAGGCAATGAACAAGTGAAACAATATGTCAATTACCAAGTTTTTTTACTCTACAAATGAAAATCATGACATCACCCAACTACCTGTAACTTAATTGGAACTAATCATAAGCCTCTTTCACCATGGGAAAACTAATCTTTCAAGATATATATATATATATATATATATATAACCTAAGTATATGAATTTCACTTCCAGAAAGATAACCAATTGTCTATTTTCTATCTAACATCTAACATGTGATTGCAAACTCTAAAATAATTAACTTTTTTCCTTCTCCATTCCATCTAACATCACAAATTGCAAAATGTTGACACCAAATTCCAATAAATCTATGCAATGCAGCAGTTCCACTATCTATTTTCTACCACTCTAATGTTTCTGGAAAATGAAGCAACCAATTGTCTCTCAAAGCAAATTTACTAGGTAAATTTACAGCAATGTCTTGTTTTATGAATGAAAACTACAAAAGCACATTTAAATTACTTTTTTTTTCAAAAACTTTTAAGTTATACAAGTGTTAGATACAGTATCAACAAGTAGTCAGATATCTAACATCATCCTGAATCTATTCTCCTCAAAAGACATAATGAATGATTCTTCTGATTGATAAACCAAAACCTTCCTGTTTGAGCGAAAGCCCAAGAATCTTCTCTTGGTTAGTATGGCATTAAATCCTTTGTTTGCAATTAATCACAACATTCATGTAGTTAACGTGTTCGCACAAAGAAAGAAAAGCACAAGCCTTGTCATGATAAAAACAGCTTGACCTTTCTCGATTCACACCAGGGAGATCACCAGCAATCAGAGCCATCAAAGACATGCGGTACATATGGTCAGCAATTGATTCAGGACCCTTTATCCCATGGTTGAGCCATCCCTTCCGTTTTGTGGTCTGAGAGAAAAGAGAAATCAGACACTTGTTTTCCCCCAAATTCTAATTCACTGGAATGTAATCTAGGCCCCCATCCAGATCAAGACAGGCTTATGTGGAATAAAAAGACAAAAAGAAAGCATTTTAACATATATTTTGCTCATGATCAGAGCAAAGAGAAGTGTGCCAAAAAAGCATTAGCAAGCATGCATATGCAGTGCATAAATACATGAAAAGGAAAGGAAATGCAGGCTCCAACCTCTTTCAGAACTGCTTATAGGAGAAACAAACAGGACTTCAAGGGGCTCGCGTACCATACATAATAAGCCATTTGAACGTATGTTGATCACATGCAGCTTAGACACTAATTCTACCACACATATTATATCGTCAAGGCCGAGAATTTATGATAGAGATTTCAATTACAGGTACAAGGGCCATTCAATTTCCATCATGCAAAGGTTCACTATAATCCTTCTAACACAACAATGGTAGTCTGGTAACCTCTTGAGACCAAGATGGAGCACAATTTGCATAAGCTTGTTGGATGGAACACTTAGTACAACACATGCACATGGAGTTATGGTAAAACGGGATAACCTTAAATGCCAGTTTTTTAAGTCCCACTTCATGTAACAAACACAATGATATCCAGTCTATGCATTAACCTTCATAAACAATCCAATCCAATCCAATCCAATCCTGACAAATTAATCAACTACAAGGCAACTGAATAACTACTCTTCTTTAAACAATATCATCAAATTAATTTGAGCATGCATTGATTACAAGAACAAGATCATCAACTCTTGTTTTATTCACTTTCCTTCTAAAAGTTAGCAGCGCTTTGGCATTCCAAATTCCAAAGACTATAAGCTGAAGCAAATTATATCCTTTCAAATAGAATTCATAACCTAAAATCATAATTTTCTAAATTGATCAGATAAAAACACAAATTATCTGCTCTAAACTGACAAAAGAAACCCCATTTCATAGCTAACGAGAAAAAGGTGAAAACTTTCCCATTTCCCATCCATTCTAAGAAAGGAAAAGCAACCCTTTTTCAACTCTCATTCATACCTTCAATCGATGGCACAATGTGAGAAAATCAATGGCCGATGAAGCTGATGAGGCACCCATCATAGATTCGGACTCCACAACGGATCTCATGGATCCTAACCCATCCGAATTAGGCTTTTCACAGTGAACTAAAACGATTCTGGGGTTTGGAGCATCGTTTAAGAAAATGGGCTGTCTCCGTTTAAAGAAAGCAAGAGAGGAGCGAGTTGGTAAGGTACGACTCAGTGGAGGAGTGCAGTGAGTCGGTGCATTAACAGCCATTATTGTTGTAATTGAGATTGAAGTTGTTGAAACTGTGATTTTTTTTTGTTGATTGAGATTGAGAAAAAGTGCCGTGGCTTTTCTTGGTTCCTACGTGGAAGCCCGGGTTTTGTGCGCTTGACTTCTTGCCTTGAGAACTTCTGTTCGGTTTCTGTTCGGTACTGCCTGCCCCAGGACTCCAGAAAAGATTGTTCTTATAGGATCTTTTATTCCACGATTAATGGTTATTCAACCAGAGGATTAACGTTAAGTATTTAATAATTAGGAAGGTAGGAGAGAAAAATCCTATTATCGCGGGAGACTGAATTAACTATCATTAAAAAAATAATAATAATAAATAAATCCACAATTTTTTTATAAATATAAAAAATTTACTACCACGAACCTTAAAGGTCTATTGGCGAATGTCCTCTCTTTCACTCCGCGGTCACATGCACCCTTCTATTTCTTTTTATTTTTCTTCCCTTCTCCTCTTTTAAGCCACAAACTTCCATTTCTTTTTAATCTACGTATTGATTTGACATGTTGATCGGACCGCCTTAACATTTCTCCATGCGACAAACAATAAAATACACTGATCTACTAATTGCATGCAAGTCTACTACCTCTTCAATTAACACATCTTAATACCAATCCAATAATTAAAGATTAGTGCTTTTTTTTTATTAAGAATTGGCTTAAAATACATGGCTTTAGATTGTTTGTAATTTTAAATTCTTATAGGCTACTAGAAATAAGGGTTATTTATTTATTTAAAAGGTAGTCTTTATTAATATAAGGGATAGCATGACCTGATATGGCATGTTAAATTAAGGACTGATTGTGTTGGTTAAAAGGGATCAAAGAGATAACAATGTTTGAATGCACACTCCTGCTGCTAACAAATACATTATTATTATTAATGGTTGCAATTGTCTTTTTATTCTTTTTTATTTTTATTTTGATAGTGTCCTTTTCTATGCAAATTCATCTTTTTATGTTTGATTTCTATTTTGAATTTGTCATTTTGTTAATTTTTTAGGCTAACAGTATTAAATCACATAATTAATCTTATAAGATTGTTACACATCTTAACTTTATCTCGTTTTCTTTTCTTTTTAATCTTGAACTTTATCTTGTTTTCTTTTCTTTTTAATCTTGTTCCTCTATTTTTTTTTTAATAAAAACTATAAAAAAAAGGCAAAGATAAATATATTTTTTTGGGTTTAAATTTATCTATATAATAGTAAATTTTGAGTATAAAATAAAATATTTATAATATTTTTTAAAGTGTCAAGAGAGTTTTCATTAAAATTTTAAATGGTTGAATCCTTTTTATAGTCTTCTTAACCACTTACGAGTGAGATTTTTTAAAAAAAATTATATTCTCGTTTTTTAGTTAAAGTAAGAAATTTATAAAATGAAAAAAATAAATTATATTTCATTTTTTGAGATATCATAAAATTATAAATATCATTCAAAAGTTAAAAAAAAAGATTATATAGTATTTTTACCTTCTGCACAAAAAATTAATTTTTTATGACATTACCTGGGTTTTCCTTAGCTGCGATAGGTGGATCTTCTTCTTCTTCTTCTTCTTCTTATACAAAAATATAACAACTTATATGGAAAATAGATTTCATCCAATAGAGCCAATGCTGACCGAATGAAATTATTTGAACAAAAAATTATATCGGGAGGTTTAAATTTATATGGCACCTTTACATTTCTATTTACTTTTGCAATTGATTTTGACAAGTAGAATCAAATTGCTATAAATGAAAAATTATAAGGATATCATCGCAATAATTTGTTTTTCAAAAACTATAATAAAATTGTTTTCTTTTTACTCTTTACTCGAGAAAGAGTTAAATAAGTTCAGGTTTCTCTTTCTTTCTTTTTTTCTTATTTATTATTATTAACTATAACGGCAATAATAATAACAATAATAAAGAATAAATTATATGAACTTAGATATAACATATTAATGGCATCAAAATATTTTAATTTCGCGAATTCAAGTTTTCATCAATTCACATGGTTCAAATTATAAGTGGACCTATTTGCATTATTGAGCATCATTACTTCATGTAGAGTTAATTTTAATTTAACCCCTTAAGATTTGGGATGATTCTAAATTTTTCTATTGAGATTTTGATTGTGTCAATGTTTTATTTGAGATTTTAATATTAGACCAATTAATAATTTTTTTAGCTACTAAAATTTTAAAATTTGATGGAATACAATTTTTTTATAAATAGTTTGATGAGATAAAATTTTATATTTTTCAATTAAAAGGTCTAAATGTACTATTATTTATTTTTAAAACATATAAAAAATAGTAGAGTATACATATCAAAGTATCCTGTCTATGTCCATAAAAAAAAAAAAATCCTTTAAACTCATACTTGATTTACTTGCCTATTTAATATTCATTAAAAAAATAATTTGTTAAAAATTCATTTAGGTCTTATAATTGTTAAATAAATTTATATTGGTTCTCAAACATTTTACAGTGTAGTCCTTTATTTTGAAGTTTTTGGCCCTAAAATTTTCATAAGAAACATTGTGATTCTTAAATTATAAAGTTTGTGCAATTCAATCCTTACGTGTTAATTTTTTATTAACAAAGTATCTTATCTTTTTAAATATAAATAATATCTATTATATCATTTCAACTTTTAATTGAAATAGAAAATTTGGTTTGATTAAATTATTTTATGGATAATTGCATTATGAATATACAAAATTTTTTTTAAAATATATGAACTTTAATTTTTTTGATAATTACATTATAAATATATAAACTTTTTTTTCAATATATGAACTTTAATTTTTTATTATTAAATATACTATTTTTTTCAAAATTGTATTTTTGTTAATTTTTTCATCAAGTGATGATATGTCTATTTTTTATTAAAATATTAAATTATAAATTTTTTCTATGTAATACACGACTTTAATTTTTTTTAAATACACTAATTTTTTTAAAAAAATTATCAATTAAGTATTTCTTTCAATTTGTCCATCTTTATTCAAATTACCAGGAAACATCAAATTACAGTACAGTTCAGACCTTTTGCGTTGCCTGTGGGCTCTCGATTGTTCAAGGAAAAAGTGATTTTGTTAGAGTGTTGAGGGAGATTGGGTGTGGTTGATTATGATGAGATTGGGTTTACTAAGAGAATGGATTCGTGGGTCATAGAGGATTTGAAAAATGGGGTTTGGAGTGAGAGGAGGAGATTGGTATTGCAGCCTTCTTGGAGGGATATTGTGGGTGAAGAAGAATCTTATATTGCGAGTACCATATATACTGGTGAGATGATAATCGCGCCAAGGAGCTTCTCGAGGCCATATTATGTGTTCTATTATGATTTGAAGAGCAACAATGTGAGGAGGGTTGAGATACAGACAGGGGTTACCTGAGTATGAGTTTCGGTCTTCTTTATTTAAAAACTTGACCTTCACTAATCATGTGGAGAGTATCTCATTTCTTGCAAACCTTGACTATTGAGATTGCAATAATTATCCGTTCAAAATTCGAGAAATAAAATGTTACGATGAATTTCTTAAATATCATGTTTAGCTTTTCAGCATGGGTTTGTCTTCTGGTTTTGATTTTTCGTTTTGGAGGTTTCTCCTTGATGATAATGTATGAGTTGGGGAAGTATAACCCTTTTCTATTCATCTCTTGCTGAAGTGGCTGTGTGCTCATACATGTGGTCTTTCTCGTAGTCTCGTATGCTTTTTAATACTTTGTTCCTTGGTTAGTTGGCTATAATCTTTTCCATTGATTGTCTAGATGCAAATATTCTTGTAATGTGCCACTAAGTCGTTGGTGATATACTATTATCTTGATTGAAAAAATGTTCAATGCTGGCAGGACTTATCTATGATCTACCTGGTAATTTTTGTTCAACAGTAATTATGTTTGCAGTTTTTAGGCAGAAATGATGCCTTTTCCATAGTAGAATGACCTGGTTTGGAAGACTGGTTCTGTTGTCCTAAAGTAGGATGCCTAGTAACCAAGAATCTGGCGATATTGAACTGATGTCTGGTAAATTTTTTTCCAACAGTAATTATGCTTGCATATTTTAGGCGGAAATGATGCCTTATCCGTAGTAGAATGGCCTGGTTTTGAAAGACTTGTTCAGTTGTTCTAAGGTAGACTACCTATTAACGAAGAATCTGGTGATAATGAACTTATCTTCGAAGAAAACTGAATTGATGGAGCACTATATATTTCATTTTGAGGTTAATTAGGAAATATCGGATAACCTCTCCCTCATTCGTGCTTACTGGTGTCTTGTTTTGTTTGATCTACAATTTACTTTCGGCAGGGAGGGATTGAATGACAATGAAATGTGGTAGAATTCCACTTGCTATTGCTGGGACAATATGCCCGTAGAATACAGTTCTGATAATCCTTTCTCGGGAAGTTAATAAATAAAAGAACTTTTGAACGATGTGGCCTCTCTACTATAATGGACATCTTTATTTTGCCTTCATATTTTTTTTATTATTTTTTAATTATAAGACTCATTTGCTGTCTTTAGTAGATTACTTGTGTTAGATGAATGTCTATGTTTTTTCAGTTGCACTCAAAATTTTTTGACTAGTTTTCATAGAATTGCTAAGGTTTTGCTCTCTTTTTTTTTTTTTTTTTTTTGCCTTGTTCATATTCTGTGCTTCCTTTGATCTCTTGTGATAATGCTACCTAACTTTGGAGGCAGAGTAATGTAGTTCACTTGTTTTCTTCCCTTCCCTTTGTTGCTTTTCTGTATTTGTATGTGGAATTTTACATGCTTCTCTATGTAGTAGCAAGTGGCCTTCAATCTGAGTAGGATTTTTGTAGAAGTCATGATTTTTATTTTTTTATTTTTTAAATCTTCACCCCTCTGCAAGCGTGTGAGATTTTGTAGAAACTGTCACCCTTTTTTTTTTTTTTTTTTGGTTACTAGGGAGAAGCTAGAGCCTGAGGCTTCTTGGGGGCAGGTTCTCACAAATGCTAAACATATCTGGTTACAATTCTGTTTTCTTTCTTTTTATTTTTTAAATTAAGAGAATTTTTTTTTTCATTGTATAATAATTTTTTATTTTTAAGAGGGGTCATGGATGCCAGTTGAGCTACAAGCTCCTTGGCAGAAGTCATCATCTTTATTCCCCTGCAACCATGCATGCCGATGCACAACATATATCCTGCAGTTGTGCGAATGGCAAGAGAACAACAATAGTCTATAACTGCTGGTCTCTTGTGGAATTGAAATCATTAAAAACTGATAGTAAGTCTTTCAGATAGAAGATCAAAATCTAGTGTTTAAAATAAGGTTTACTTGGAGGCTAGGTTTGTTTATTTGTTTTCTTCGTCACACTTACAATGAACTGAACCTTATTCTGAGTTAATGGTTTATATTACTTCTGGAGCATAATTGCCTATTTTTAATGCTTGATGTCATTCTACCTATCATAAAGAAAAAAAAAAGACCTTGATGTTGTTCATGATTTTGGTTTCCCTTTGCCATTTTCATAATTTAACCGTCAAGTATATACAGAGTTTGATGTTTTACAGAGTAGAGGTGTGCAATAACTTATTAGGAAATTAAGGGAAAAGGCTAATAAATTAGCATGGTGAGCCTTTTGAATGTTGTTGCAGCTAAAACCTACTGAAAGCTGGCCTTGACTGAATGATTGATCACACCTTGCTTCCATTTCAACTAAGCACGGGCCTTGATGTAGTGTACCTCTGCAATTAAATGTCATTATTATGAAGAGGAAGGTTCAAGGTTTGGTAAACATACTTAGTCGGTTCATTAATGCAATTCCAAAACGGGAAGATCTGGTATTGGAGTTGGTCTTAAAAATCCTCCTAAGCATTACTTGTTTGGACTTGAATGCAGGTTTATTTGCATGGTACGTTTTTATCCTGGGATTCATATGGGGAGCAGGGAGTTTGTGTCCATAAAGGTTAGTGGCAAAACTGGACGGGTTCTTATTTTCTTGTGTTGTGTGTGTAATGCACAGATTATTTTATGCACAATTTTTTGATAAATCCAATGGTACAGGTTATTGAATAGGCCAAATAGCTCGCTCACCAAAAGCAAGCTGTAGAAAATATACAAAACAGTGCGTGCTGTGTCTAGGAAGTAGGAACGATATTGATACCAGTGAAGCTATTGAAAGTGAGCTTGACATTTACTTAATGCCTTGACAAATCTGAGTGCATGGTGGAGAAAGGTGATGAGAGAATCTTAACTCAGTGGTGTATGGGATGCTATATGCAGGAAAACTGGTGATTGCAGTGAATCTGTTTATAGGGTGTCTTTTGAATGGGGAATGCTTGCCCCTTGATACTTAACTTCAATGAAATTGAGGATTACTGGAATGATCAAAGCAAGAACTGTGTGAGGGGGACAGGGCTTGGCATGTTCTTGTGCAACATTGACATTTCAGAATGTTGTAATTGATATTGACAGGAAGCTTTCTGGGAGTGAGAGGGAATAAGTTCGTTAGCAAGTGGGGGCTGGTGAGGGTGGTTGCACAGCCTCAGCCATTGCATTGAAAGGGGGCTAGAGTCAGTACAAGGATCGGCTAGTGCTGAATAAATGATGCTGGATTTTGACACAATCTTTGGCAAATTCTAAAGGGTTTTTAAAGTAACTGTTAACCGAGCACCCATATTACGTATATACACCCTCATGTTAAAGAAAACGGTAGGATTGATTGGCACAAGAAGCAATTTGAACTAAGATGGGGATGCTTCCAAGCCATCTGTGGCTATACAGAAAGGTTACTCGTACGGTTCTGGCAGAATTTAGGACTCCTCGCAACAATATATAGTTTAAACAGGTAGGGATTGCATTCTTGCTCGAATCTTATATATTTTGGCCAACACATTGAACCTCTTTTCTTTTCTTTAGATAGCCTTTAAAATCACAACCTATCAACAACAGTATGTGTTCTCTGTTTTTATATATATAACGAAGGGTTTTTTTTTTTTTTCTTTTTTGGTAGTTTCTACTGTAAAAGATTTTGGGTTGGCTGGTAGACTATATATATATCGGCACTGAGAAAAATCTCAGTTTATGTCTTATGTTCTGGATCATATTTAAGATTTGTCAAAGGCCTATAATAAACAACCTTTGATCGTCTGAATTGAAAAACGCTGTTTAGGATTTGGAAAGGGTTCATATATCCTGTGTTTTAGATGATCAGTGACTTCTCAATAGCTAACTAAATTGATAACAGACTTGATTTGTTTTTTTAATTTATTTTCTAGGGTAGATAAATCTTGTAACTTGGTGAATGTTAGGAATGCATGTCCTGAAAAATCCCATGCATGTCAGACTGATAGAAAATTATCCCCTCTCCCATTGCAAGAAAAATTACCCCATGCTCCTAGTGCCTTTTCCTTTAACTTAAAAGATTTACAATGGATAGACATCAAGAATACATCAGACAATAAATGAGAAAAGTGAGGATATACGTATGGTAGCTAGGACGATTGAATACTAACCTCGAGAGGCAGAACAGATCGATGGTTAAATAAGTTTGCTTTATTTTTCAATTTTTGAGTTTGAATATTAAAACCGGCAATTTTCTAATTAAATGCACAATATCTATGTGAGAAAAAGAATTGCTAAATGATAATTGCTTGAACAAAATTAAGGTATATCCTTATTGAAAAAAATTAGAAAGAGTTAGTTTTCCATAAAAACAGCATATCAATACATAAATAATAGCCATAGGGAATTAAAACTGAATAGTGTATTCTCAATATATTAAGAGAAGTGCATGTGGATAAATATATTATTATAACAACAGGTTTTAGGAGTTGATTTGCTTATTCAAATAAATTAATCAAGTCTTCCATATAAATTAATAGATAAACATACATATATATATATATATATTAGAAAAAAAAAGTAGGATAATTGTTTGGTAAAAAAATAAAAAAGTAGTGTACAAGTACTCGACGTACATGAATTCTACGATCCACTAGCTCAAACTTTTTATGGTTAATGGATTAAAGATTATTTTGAATTTTCAGTCAATAAAGAATTAGTTCTTATTTAAGTTCTTTAGCTTAGTCTTTGTGCACTATCGTTTATTTGTTCACGTTTTTATTTATTCATTGAGTGTGACTGCACGTATTTTGTCACATGATACATCAAAAAGCAATGTGTGTCCAGAACGAGACACTCACAAACACCTTCTATATCGATCATCACTGTGTTCTTCTACTTAATTTCATGTTTTCACCTTCATGCTATCCCTCAATGTAAGACACTTGTAGAGAGAAAAATAATTGGAAAAATCATCTTTAATTCTTAATGTTTTATTTGACAGTGTGTGTAAATAAATTTAATGAACGGACCAAATCTAGACTAACTGAAAAAAAAAGTTAAGGATGTAAATTAGAATAAAAATAGATCAGTGACTACTTTCCTACTGATCTAAAGTTGAGGCACGTGGGTTTTAACCGATTAACTTCTTTATATATATATCCTTTTTTGTTTCGTCTTTCTTTAATGTACATAGATAAGCATATTCAAAGATCGATAACGCCGAGAAGAAAGATCAAACAAAAACCCTAGAAGAAAAACTAATCAGGCATCAAAGCCATGAGTAAGAGAATAAAGGCCTCAATTCTAATCCCTGGAGACATATGGTTCGACGTGCTAGCAAGACTTCCAGCAAAGTCTCTGATGCGATTCAAGTGTGTTTGTAAACTATGGGGTTCTTTCATTAAAGATCCTTTCTTTATTCAATTGCACCGTTCTCACTCCAAGTCTCGGCATGGTAACACTGTTATATCCTACACTGATCTGTGTTCATCAACGCAATACTTTTATTTTGCAAATACCGAAGGAAATCCAGATCCGTGCAAAGGTACGCTATCCATGCCTGAATATCGGTGTATTTCCGAAATTGTTAATGGCTTAATATGCCTTATTGGACCGCATAATGTCTCAATTTGCAATCTTAGTACTCATGAGATCATGACTCTTCCTGATGCAATTCCTGAAAGAGAGAATTTTTCTCGTGAATGTCATGCGTGCTTCTTGTTCGGATCCGATTCTTTGGCCCAGATATTCAAAGTTTTGAGAGTACGCACCGTTGTTACCAGAAATCGATATGGTTACAAAAGTTCCAGAAAGACTTGTGATATTTTCAGGCTGGGTGTAACATCATCTCGAACATCATGGAAAAGGATCAAAGCCCATCCTCACAGATTTCCGAGCCGTATGAGACCAGCTTCTGGGGAGTATAGACTCCATGCCGATAGTGTTTGTGCCAACGGAGTTATATATTGGCTTCAACATGCTAATTGGCAAGGCCAATTTGATATAGGAGCATTTGATGTCTCAGAAGAGAAGTTTCTTTCAGCAATACCTGTTCCTGAGGATGGACCAAGTTCTCATGATGTTGAATATTTACTTCAAATTGGAGGGAATTTGGCTCTAGTAAACCAACAGCCAAGGAGTCAATCTCGCAGTAAGATAGAGATGTGGTTATTAGAAGGCTATGGTCAAAACAAATTATGGACTAAAAAGGAGATATTACTTCAACAAAATCATCTATGGAGCCGTATGCTTCCAATAGGAAACATCCACACTGGCGAGATCTTATTTATACCAGAGCACTTCTTTTCAAATTCCTTAAAGTTGACATATTATGACCAGAAAACAGAAAGCTATAGGGAGAATGAGAAGACTGTGTCAACTAAGGAAGGCATATTTTCTATCATAACTAAGCAATATTGTCCTAATGGTGCTTATTTCTTGAAAGAAGAATGGACACCCTATTATCAAACTGGTAAAGGGATGAAGCTGATAAGGTTTTTTACCACTGATGGACTAGAGAACATCTTGCCATTAAGGAAAGATAATTGAGAAAAGGTCAGAATTAATTTAAAGGAATGGTGCACTTAAGTTCATGTTATCCCATTTATGATTTACCAGGGCAGCGGCAGCATGCTTATTTTGTTCTTTTTCTCAGTATAATTTGTCTTTCTTTTCACATATGTCATAGGGAAATGTTTTAAAGCTTTTTTTTTTTTTGGATTTTTTCATCCATCTAGCTATCTGTGTAGCATAAGATGTTTGAAAGAAACTAAAGTTCTTGATTCTTACTCAAGATATTCTATAGAATAAATAAGAATAGTCAAAATATGAACTTTGATAGGTAAGGTTGGACAACACATGTCAATCAAGACATTTCAAACATTTTATGCTCAGAAACGAGATATTTGATTCCATAAAAGACTGGCCGGTGCCATGGCAAAACACATGACATTCCTTTGATATGGAGTAGTCGTCCCAGATGAGGGAAGATTAACTCTACCAACTAGTACAAATAAAAAGACACTCTTCGAACTAAACCGTGATGAGGCTAGCGCGTTAGAGAATAAATCACATCAAGGGTCTCATAAGTTGGAATCGAAGATTGTCAACAACATGGGAATAGATTGCTCTACCCCACCATCATGTAACTTGATAGAACCCCACCTATATAAGAACTCAAACCACCAAGGGCTTTGGGCTTCCAATCCTATACTCTCTAAAATGCTATACTCATTATCTACCATATTATACTATTTATTATCCCTACACTCTAAAGATCTAATTAGGCCACTCTTCTCTCCTCAAACTCACATAAAAATACTTTGAAAGAATAGATTCACTTAAAGGATTCTCGAAGACCGGACAAGAATCACATCTTTATTATAACAATCGTCAAGACTTAAGAAAGAGCAATTAATATACCCAAGATGTATGTGGGCCAGGGCCCAGTCAAGTATAACACATAGGAGAACTATATCCCACGTGCATGATATTGCATCTAGAAAGAAACTCGGACTAACAAGGACCACTTGGATGACCCTTATATGGGCAAGTAAGATCATCCTTGAGCAATTAACCAATGATCCAGGGGCTTGCACCCACCTCCTACCAATCAAAAAACTAAAAGCACATTCATCAAATGAATACACTTTTATAATCAATTTTATCTGATCAAAAACAACTATGATATCATTATACTTATTCAACTATAATCCATCAATATTATAAACACTTATCCTCTAATCACGATTAGAAGATATTGATAATAATAATAAAAAAAAAACAATTTTGCCCTTCACTTCATGAAACATAATGAGTCTCGTGACTATCTATATAAACAATCATGAGATTTAAGATAAGAGAGTCTGAATTTTCTTCTTAAGAAACAACCATTCTTTCAATATTCTCACTATTTATCATCTTTTTTTATATCTACATTATTGACTTTTTAAGCTATTATTTTTTTTTTCATACACTTAGTCATTGAAAGACGAAATCAAACCAGAATGATTTGTTTTACAAGTATTACAGTTAGCATCGTCGCCATCAACAAGCAAACTCTATAATTATATCAGTTAAAAGATGGACCGACTCATCTTTGAAGGTTTATAACCTCATCACGTTGGACGGTGCTTGGAAATTATAATTCATGAGTTTGGACATTAAAGAGAAATCACACAAGAATAAGAAATGTAGAAACCTCACCAGTAACATTGAAAGAAGTGGCATGCAACTCTTAGTTGGAAATGATCACAGAAGTAACGCTGCTGGCCCAACTTGTCAGCGTTACGTAATAAATCTTGAAAGAAAGTAAAAAAATAAAAAATAAAAAATGAAGCAGTGCAGACAGCAAAGGAATTGACCCGAAAGGCCAAAACCATGTAGAAACATCAATACTAGTGTAGGACCGCAAAGAGATGACTCATAGCCCAAAGTAACACCAGCAGCATGTTAGCCCAAAGTAACACCAGCAGCATGTTAGCCCAAAGTAACACCAGCAGATTTGCATCTTCTCTTCAGCCAAAAGCTGATTTGGAGCATAATGCAATAGCAATAGCAGTTTAAAAATTGGCTTTCTTTTTTGCCTTGGTCAGGCTAATTGGAAGTGCAAAGAACTACAACCAAAAGCAGATAGACAGCCATATGATCTACCAAAGGTAAACTGGGGAACCAGTGCAGCAAAATGATGAAGAATCTGAGAGCAGCAGCGGTAGTCATAGGCAACATGCTCTCATGAACATTAATAAAGCTTGTCCCTTTTGCCAACAAATATTTAGATCACAGAACAAGAATTTACTATGCCTTTAACAATCGTCCAATCCAAACATGGTATTCTTAAGATAATTCAAGACACGACTGTGTTTAGAATTTGCAGGAAAGCGCATACGCAAGTTTTTTCTTAAAACAATTTCATCGCCATTAGCTTAAGAAATCAAAGGCCTCTCCAATCCATTGAGATGGCAGTCCAAGCAAATTTTAGTGTTTACTCTCAGAAAATAGTTGTTTAGTTTTCTTATTTATTCTAAAATTACTTTTCATGAAACATTAAGAAAATATGTTTACTAAATACAACTTTTTTCAAAATAGAAAATAAATATTTTGTTTGGCTTATTTAAAGAATAATAAAAAGAAAAGGCATAAAATATTCGGTGAATCAAACAAAATCCTTATTTTTAATTGTAAAGAACGTGAAAATAATTATTTTAATGTTTTTCATTTTTCAGAAAATTGGAGAACTAGAAAATACATTTTTTTTTAAAAAAAAGTTCATTTTCAATGAGTAAATGCATTATTTTTAAGTTCTTTTTTCTTAGAATTTTTCTTTTTAGAAAACTGAAAATTTTTCCATAAGTAAATACGAAATATTCCCAACATAGATAGGCCGGGGGCAAAAAGAAAGAAAGTAGAAGTCGTACACTACACAATTTTTTCTTGGATAACTTGTTATTTATTGATATATATATATATATATTTTTACTTATGGATTTGTAATTTCCTTGTATCTAATTTTTTCCCAGTAATTTTTTCCTTCTTTAGTAACTTAGTAAAGAAACAATTGATGGGGTAATAGGTAAAGTTTGGGATATCCCAATTGACCCGAATTAATCGATCAGATAAAAATAAATAAATAATTTGGATAACTGAAATTGTAATTTTTTTCTTAAACCAGAAAAATGTTCATCCCTAACCATGGATTAAGAATTAGGGTCCAGCAAGATTTTAAAAAAAAACATAGTAAGTTATATGAACTGGAATTTTTTTTTGTCGGGAAAAATCATAGGCTAATTAATTAATTGTATAATTGTTGAGGAGTTGCATTGCCGCGTGACATGGAATCTTATATACGTACATTATACATGAAAAATTTTCAAAGAGTTTTACCTGTAGTTTTTAATATACATGCCTCTTGGAACCACTTGTAGCTACCTAATGTTCGTAGTACTCGAAAAAAAATTTATGATTTATTTTGTTAAAAATCTTGTTTATTTTGAGATATGAATTATTATTAGTTTCGAAGGCATCACCAAATATTAAAGTAACCAGGAACCTAAAATGAACATTGACTTAGAGATTTCAAGGAAAGGAGTTAGTTATGTTTTTTAAAAGATATTAATTATCCAAAAATATCGTTTCCTAATAAAGATACCATGTCAAGTTTAATCCTAAAATTTATCTCTTCAAAATTTCTATTTTTGTCAAAAGTTGATCCTAATTCAAAATTTCAAATTTTATTTCGGAGGCCAAATTATTATTATTATTATTTTGTATCATCATATTGAATCGATTATCAAACCCCATCGTCATGAGTCTCGTCAATTCAACATCAAATCTAGTTTAAATCTCAATATAATCGGTATGTTGGAGAACAATCTAATTACTAAAATATGATTGATTTAAGCTAAAATTAGTTTCTATTAGATATGAGACTTTGTTGATTTTGTCTTAGCATTTTCTTCATTTTTCTCTCTCTCTCTCTGTTTTTTTTTATCTAACATTTTCTCTCTCTTTGTATTTTTTTTTAGTTTATCGTTTTCATTTTTTATTCTTTTTATTTTTATTTTTTACCATTTTTTCTCTTTTCATTTTTTTTTTATGTTTTCTAGTTAGTAGGAATTAAGTTCTAAAAAGAGAACGTAATGTTTCGTACTCGTATTTCATTTGGCTCTAAGGCAATATTTATATAGGTAATCGTTACAAGGATAGCTTTGAAGAGATAATAACTATGATATATATATATATATATATATATATATATATATAAAGAGTAAGTGTTGGAGTGAATAACTCATCCCTTGTCTTTATCAGTGTCGTTGAAAGGGAGCCATGGAAGACATTATGTTGCTATTGGAGTTCTTGTTACTATATGACTTATCAATGTCGGAGTCCTTGCCGTGTGTGTCTAATAGTAGGGAACCGTCATCAATGCTTAAAAATTAGAAACCTCCATGATTTATCTACCTATTAATCATCTAATCTAATTATTGAAATAAAGCTTAAAAAACTAATCATTGACTAAATAAATAAATAAGGACTCAAAAATTCAAATAATTAAATCTAAGACTAGACATAAAAATAAAAGGCATGTATTAAAATTTTAGAACTAATTTATCTAGAAAAATGACTAAATTAGGGGTATTAGGCCTTTTGGGCCTAGAAGGCTGGCTTGTGGGGCGAGCTAACCTTGTTCTTTCTTTTGGGCCTAGGCTGGGTTAAAATCGGCCTAAGCCCGAGTCATGCGAGTTAGGCTTAGCTTAAGCCCTTCTCCATTTCATTTCACTCTAACCCGACCCAATCCGTCTAGCCCAACAAAAATTTCCACTTCATTCCCAACTCAAAGCCAATCTAAACCTTTGAATTCAATTACCTTTTTTATCCTCCTCTTTTCCTTCCAAACCTAAACTTGTCTAGTTCCTCCCATCTTCCTTCCCAAGTCTCTACTCAAACAAATCACCCGATCTCCTTTTTTCTCCTTCAAACCCTAAAAACTTAAGCACCAGTTTCCTATCAAAATTGAATTCCTATCTCACTTTATTTCTTTCCTCCTTCGT